CCCCCCTGCCCTACTAGCGCCCTACAGAGGGAGAAGACCTCAGGCCACATCCCAGGGGTGTGGCACAGGGCTGAGGCTTATGCAGGGGCCAGCCCTGCTCCAGCCCACACTGTGCCTGCTGGGCAGGGGCCAGGCTCGGTGTCCCACCTGGGCTGCTGGCACGTTCCTGGGGCGCCGCAGCTGGTTGGGCTGGGGAGAGGGGCTCGCTCACACAAGGTCCTCATTAGCAAAGTAAACTGCCGGGCCTGATTACACACCCGGGAATAGAAACACTTCTGCTGATTGTCAGCTCCGGAAATTACTGCTCGGAAAGACAGCACGCTCCATCCCCCTCGCTTAACCCCTCCACTGCCACCGTCTGCTACACTGTCCCCTCCCTCCTGGACAGCCACCAGCCCCATGGAGCCCAGCCAGCCTAGTATCCCATCTGGTCTCTGCTTTGGATCAGCACTACGGACTGGTACCCTGGTCCCTCCCTGCCCTCATCCAACCCCACAGGCTCACTTAGCCCTGTGCCTACTATGGACACACCTATAAATATTATCAGGTCCCCCCAAACTTCTGAAAAGACCAACCTCTAGTCCTGCAAATTCTGCCCAAGCAAACACAGTTTGTCTCAACACACTCACCCACCCACCCACAAATATTTTATTTTCTCTACAAGATACTTTTCACCCCATACAAACACCCCTGAAAATTGTAAATTGAAACAGACAGAAAACTATATACAAACACTCCTCACCTCAGAAATCCTCTACATACAGCTGCTTCAACACCAGTAAACCACCCAGACACACCATCACTACACACAACCAGTTCCCCACAATGTTAAACTGATGCACATGCATGCATACAGCTACACACAAATGCACCCCCTGTACTTCCTCACCCACACACCAAACTACCCTAAAGATGGACAGACAGATATATACAATTAATACAGCATTCAAAGCTACAAATGCCCTCCACAATGCAGCCTGACACAAGACAGAATATACTACACAAACACATGTACACCATCCCCCCAATACAAAAACACACACACATGCTCTTCTGGACACACACCCTAAAAACACATGCCCAGAGATCACATTAAAACCTTAAGGATGAATATACATCCCATGGGAATAACACACAGAACCAAAACTCCCACCATGCACAGACATCCACTCACCGCTACACCCCACCCCACCCCACAAGATGACCCTCAAAGAATACCCACACCTACTGAAAACAATACACCAACACCCTGCACCCCCCCCACACACTCAGAATTCACAGACACCCTACAAATAACACTGACATGAAACACCCTTGCGAGGCATGCACAGCTGCCCAAACAACACACAGCCACACCATGGAAGCAACTCCCCATTCAGGGACACTCTTGTGCCCCTCTCCACACTGAGCCTCCACAGCAAACCAGAAAGCTTCCCCCAAAACTGCACATGCTGGAAAGAACAACACAAGGAGCAACAGGAACACAGCTACCCTGCACAGCCAGCCTCTCCACCCACAGTCCCCAAGGGGTTGGGGCCACTTTCCAAATGGGAAGCTGATGCTGGGAGAAGGGAAGGGACATGAGCATGGTTACCCAGTAGGGTGGTAGCAGAGCTGGGGATCGAGTCCAGGGCCACAGAGAAGTGCTTTGCCTACTAGGCCATGCTGTCTTCCCACAGCCTGAAAATGCATCAACCTGTCAGGACATGTGACAGGCCCCAGCACCAAGGTTCGCTCCTTCCAGATATACGACAGTGCACATGGAAAACATACGTGTGTGCGTGCAGGCAAACACCCACAGACCCCACACCCCTCAGCGAGCTGGGACAGAGCCCAGGTGCTTGGCCTTCACCCCCTGCTTTAGCCCACTTGACACTGCTTCCATTGCTGGGATAAACCCCCAGTGACCTGCTGCCCAGAACCCTTTCCACTGCTTTGCTAGGCAGCCTGCCCCTCTTCTTGAATCCTCATTCATCTCCCCATGCTCCCCCCTCCTGCCCCCTCCTTGCCCCCCTGCTCCTGCCTGTCTCTCCGCTCCCCGCTCCTGCCAGAGCGTATTGATTTCTCTGCCTTTTCGAGCTCTACCCCCTGGGGCCGCGTCGCCTCTTTGTCCTTCCTCCCTTTCATTTTTCCCTGTCTCGTTCTCTCTCTTGCACACGTCTCAGCGGTGGAGAACATGGAAATGTACACGGCCCTGGGGTGATGGGGCAGCCTGCCCCCCCAGCCCCTGTGCCCTGTGCTGGAGGCAGCTGCATCTCAGTGCTCAGCGAGAAGGTCTCTGTATAACCAGTCCCCTGATGTGCCCCACCCCAGAGGCAGCTGCAGCTCAGCGCTGGGTGGGGGTCCTAGGGACAGGCACGTGCCTTGCTCATGGCTGTGCAGTGAGGGGTCTCACAGCCTCCCCTATACCCTCCCTCTCCATTTCCTAGACCCCACTCAAGGGACTGGCGCAGCAGTTGCAGCTGGCTCAGGCACAGTCCCCTGCTGCCACTTCCAGCAAGTCACCACTCACGCCTCCCCCCCAGGGCCACTGGAACCTTTTTGTAAATGCCTATTAAAGGGTTATTCCGGGAAATGCCTATTAGAGGGTTATTCTGAGAAGGGGTGGAGGGCAGAGTCCATGGGGAAAGGGAGAACACACCCATAGGCACCCTGAGAATATGAGATGGATGGGGAGACATGCAGTGGAAGAAGGGCAAACAGGCAGTGGGAAGGACAGACAGAACAGCAAAGGGTTGGATAGGGTAACAGGCACAGGGGATAGGTGAGAAGAGGCTACTACTATGTGCTGAGCTGTCTGTAGGGTGTTGCTAGATGGTGAACACGTACGATGGGTCTAGGAATGGCCAATGGTGTCACTGTGGGCCCAATCTGAAGATGAGTATCTACACATGAAAGCATATTTAGGAGGGTTGTAGGCACAGTCTGTGGGGGATCAAGATACTATGTGAAAGTGAATTACACCTTTATGCAGATCCAGTCTTAAGAGGCATAGAAAGTGAAGATACAATGTAAAAGCATGTTTAGGAGGGTGTTTGAGTACAGTTGGAGAGGGTGCTTCTACACTCTTAAGAGATGTGCATACATTGTGAAAGCACATTTATGTTGTGTAGATAGGGTGAAAAGATGTAGCTTTACACTGTAGATGTGCTGCTACAGTCTGCAAGCAAGTTTACAAAGTGGGACTACAGTGTGAAAACATCAGTACAGCATGAATGATTGAGTATGAGGGTGCAAAAGCACTGCCTGAGCTTGTCTGATTGCAGCCTGACATGCATTTATGATGGTGTGTAGATATTATGAAAAAAGTGTGTAACTACACAATAAGAGTATGTTGGTCCAGGCTGGAAATGCTGGTCTGGTCCAGGCTAGATATTGGGTAGGTGCAGCTGAAGAGTATTTATAATGGTATGTAGGTGCATGACAAAAGGTTGTAGCTACACTGAAAATGCACAGACACAACCTGAGAGTGTATTTGGGTGTGCAGCTGCACTGTGAAGGTGTATTAATGAATATCAGTAGGTACTGGCTAAGGCTATGAACGTGTGCATGTGTATATATACAACCAGACAGGGTATGTCTAAGGGTGTGTAGGTACAGTTTGTTAGCACATCAGTACAACTTGAGAGTTTAATTACAAAAGAAAGCTGCAATGGCATGCAGGTGTGTAGGCATAGTTGAAAAATAGCTTTATAAGCATGTGTAGCTACAGTATGTCAGTGGGTAGGTACCACTCAAGCATATATTTTAAGAAATGTGCAGCCACAGCATGGCAGGGTGTAGCTACAGGCTGAGAATGTATTAATGAAGGTGTGCAGATACAGTCTGAACATGCATATCCCTCTCACAGCATGTGGAGTGTCTGCTTCTAAAGACCCCCTCTCTGTATACAAGTGTAATAGGAGCATCATGCTGCAGGTGGAGCTCTGATATATTGAGTGTATTGATCAGGGAGTGGATTACATACCATGTTGGTGATTTGTACACCCCCATTGTACTGTGAAAGCACAGTTATACTTTGCTGTCAGCTACAGGTGACTCTGACTGACATCCCTGACTGAAACATGTCAAAATCTCCCAAGCTTTCTGGTGTGACAGCTTTCCTTTCATGAGGCAGTAATGCCCTAGGAGGAATCCTACACTGGTAGGAAGGAAGTGGCTGTTGTGTTCTCACCTGGATACAGTTGAACTAGGAGGAAACACAGGCCACTGTGATGTCCATTATCTCACCTTGGGGTAGAAGCTGCAAATTCCAGTTCAGGTCCCAGAGTTTAAATTCAAGTAGGTTCAAGTCTGACTGTGCATGTAACAGTGCCTGTTTCTGGACTTCCAGGCATGGGTGGGGTTATATTCCACCCAACAACACTCCTCATGTCTCCTGTCCTCCTTGCTAGGGCAGAGGTGGGGGAACAGTAAGAACCAGGAATCCAGGTGTCTCAGGACAGGGCCAACCTTAGAGACTGTAGAACCCAGGAATCCAGGTGTCTGAGAAGAGGGAGAGATGAACTTAAGGATAAGTGTGGGTGTGGTCACAGGACCCAGGAGTCCATGTGGCCTCAGAGGATGGTGTTGGGAATTTTCCTGGGGTGAGGCAGAGAGTAAGGGAAAAGGAATTAAAGAAAGTCCTTAGGGAAGTAGGAATGGGGACCAGATTCTAGCTGAAGACAGCTGCTCAATCATATCTAGTCAGTCTTTTCCCCCACCCCACAGGTCCCTGGATAAGAACAGTCTGGAGACAGACCCCAGCAGCCCTTGACAGTTAGATCATAGACCGGTGTGTGTGTGCACGTGCATGCACACACTCACACATAGAGCAGGGCTTCTCCCCTCCAGCAGGGGGCAATAGGGACACATGCACATGCACGTGCATGCACACACACACAACACCCCCCCATTATGCACGCGCACACACACATGTATGCACACAGCCAGAACTCTCCCACCCTGGAATATCAAAACTATG